GTATCAACATTTAATATGATGAATTTTTGAATTTTAAATTAAGATTTTAATTTCCATATGTAGATTGGAACTCTAACTTTTTTTTTAGAAGTCAGGAGTAATATGCACTAATCTGTTAATAAATATATTAATTTTGGTACCAATGGTTTGTTAGTCCGAATGGAAGAAACTTTATCCCTTTAAGTAAGATCTCAAATTTTAATTGTATGAATAAAAAAAAAGAGCAATGAGATATTCCATTTTTATAGGGATTGATGCGGCTTGACTCCAAATTAATCAAAATTCAATGCAATTTCCAAATATCAGAAGTTAGTACAAAAAATATATATATGTGTATATATATATATATATCAGTTTTGGTAATATGTACTCTTACTATATGATATTTACAATTGTATTCCTAGCTGCCTAGATAAATCAAATGTGGTGACTAAATATGGTAATAAGTAATAACAGCAAAAAATGGAATAAAATCCATTGAAAAATCCAAAAGACAGGCATTTACACCTAAGCATCACATAAAAAAAGGCTAAATCTTTTGTTATTAAAAAAAATTCATATCCTACATGAAAATCTCTATTTTTCCCTACCAACCGCGCAATCTCTTAGTAAATATATTAATTTTGGTACCAAGGACCTGTTAGTCAAAGCGCCAATTTAGTATAGTAGTTTTGGGGTGAGGATTAATGGTTTTATCTAAATCGCTAAATATATGTGTTTGATAAATTTATATATTTTGAAACCGTTACAAATAAAGTATTTGAAAAAAATTTTATTTAGCGATTTAAGACTAGCGGATAGCGATTAAGATTCAAACCGCTAGCAGATTGAAAAAGCTAGTTTATATAGCTTTTTTGTATCAAACTGCTAGCGAATTAAAATTTTTTAATTTTATTAACAAATTTATCGATTTTAATTTTTTAATTTGTGATCACATTTTTTAATTAATAATTATCTAATAAATTTCAATTTTATTTTTTTACTTTTAATAACATTAAGTGATTATAATATTTTTTTTGTACATTAATTTTTAATTAAAAAATATATTATCGTAAACAAAATTTGTTAATTAGACAAAATGATTAATCTTTTATTTAAAAATAATATAATTTTTTCTTTTTTAAAAATAAAAATGAGGACGTAATTACATTATTATAATTAATTTTATTTTTTATTATTTTTATAAAATTAATAATTTTAATAATAAAAAATAATAATATTTTAAAAAATACACTTATTTATTTTTAAACATGTCTTTATTAGTAATTTAATATTGAATAACAACCGCTAACTATTGTATAGCCAAACAATTTTATTTATCGAATTCGCTATTTACTATCCGCTACTTACTTTCCGCTATCCGCTAACCGCCACCTGCTACCTGTTACTGCTATCCGCTACCTGTTACTGCTATCCGTTACCCGTTACTCGCTATCCGCTACTTGCTACTCACTATCCATTAAATTTTAACCGTTGTACCAAACAGACCTTAAGTAGAAGAAACTTAATTTTCTTTAAGTTTTAGTCTTAGAAATTAAAAAAATAAGTGTTATGAGAGATTCCCCTTTTATGGGGTTTAATGCAACTTGACTCCAGATTAATCAAGATCCAATATGACTTCCAAATATCAAAGGTTAATACAAAAAATGTATATATGTATATATATATATATATATCAATTTTGGTAATATATACTCTTACTCTATGATATTTACAATTGTATTCCTAGCTGCCTAGATAAATCAAGTGTGGTGCCTAAATATGGTAATAA